GCCTTTTTATTTTTAATTTTGAGACAGGGTCTCACTAATTTGCTTAGAGCCTCTCTCAGTTGCTGAGGCTGGCTTTGAACTTGCAATTCTCTTATCTCAGCCTGCTGAGCTGCTGGGATCACAGGTGTGTGCCACCTTGCCTGGCTTTGCTTCTATTTTGAACCTGATGTCTAGTTCTCATTTCACTCCTTGTGAGAAATTAGGAATTGAGTCCCTCTTGCCAACTTTCTTTTACCACTTGTGATATAGTTTACTTCTTTTTTGTGCATATTTTAATAGATTATTATTTCATTTTTTAATTTAATTTTATTTTTTTTGACCTTTAAATCTTCCTTTTTATTTAAAAAAGTCAGGTGTAAATAAACATATAATTCAAAGCCAAGCACAAAGTTTAGCACAGTGTTGGGTAAACATAAAATATATGTCACTATACACAACACAGACTCATTTTTATATACAGTCTTATTTCCGTACAAACAAGCTTGATATTCACTTTCATATATCAAAGTACAAATCTGAGTCAAAGCCTTGAAAAAGACATAATTCATCGACATTTTGCATTTAATTTTGCATTAGTACCCCAGAGAGAGAGAAAGGGAGTGGTGGTGGAGGGGACAGAGCGCTAGCCGTGAACCTACGACCCTCATGTCAGCTGGCTGAGAGGGCAAGGACCCAGATCTGCCGTAGCCACTCACACCTCCGTCCTGGCCGCCTCCAGCACCTGTTTCTGTGTGAGATTAACATGGATTCGGGATGAGATTCAGAGCGCTGAGGGTTTTCTCCAACCCACGTACAGAACTTCCACCAGGCTGCCACACTGTGACAATTTCATGGGAGAGCGACACCTTTTCCCCATCTCAAGTCTTTCTTGAGAAGAACGAACAAGTCCTCGGAGGCTGCTGGGGGCCTGGACCTGGGTGTCCTCTCCCTGGAGCCACAGACGAGCCCCCCACCCACAGTCAGGAAGGAGGGACAGGGAGCAGCAGGGACAGACGCCTCCACACCAGAGGGGCAGAAGCCTTGGAAACCCCATTCCTCTGCTAGACTGGCCCGTGGCCACCGCACCATGGAACACAGCACAGCAGCAGACGTGAAGCTGTGCCGTCCCCCAAGACAACCTGGCCATCGCCTCCTGATACTGCCTGTTGCTGGGCAGGTGGGCGCTGTGGGACAGCCCTCAAGCTCAGGATAACCCTGCTGGGCGCCAGGACAGGGATCCAGTGCTTCCTATGGACGCAACACTGCATCCCTTTAAGGACAGTTCCATGTGCTCTGGATTCAGGCTGAGCAGCAGACACATCACCAGGCCCACGGCAGAGGTCACTGCCAAGACTCTCTTAGCCTCCAGAAAGAGCAGCTCCGCGTCTAGGAGCTGTGAGAGCCCTGAGACGGCCTGAGCTCTGAGCGGCCACTGCTGCCTTCACTGAAGACCAGAGCCGTCTGCCTCAGCTGCACCCTTCAACCCGACAGCCAAGGGGAAAGGCCAGGGAGGACACGGTGGTCAGGAGCCGTGGGAGTCCTGCAGGCTCGGAGAGCACAGGTCGCTGATGGCAGAGCTGCTGTCCACCTGGCTGGCTGCAGGATGTGACTGAGCACGACCTGCTCGGTCAGCAGAGCTAGAATTTCTGCTGGGGAAGAAAAATATGGGCTGGGAGGCAGGGGAACGGGTGGTGGTAGTGGCCCCATCCTGAATCCCACAGCCCAGCCCAGCCTCTGGACTCTCTGACCAGGAAGTATACGTTGAGGAAAACCAGACACAGCTCACCCTATTGCTAACAACTAACACTGCCACCTTCAGAAAGCAGACCGACAGTTTCTCTCAGGAAGGGAACCCCACCCCGTGGCTGAACAGTTAGAAAACTTTTTCCCTCATCCATTCTTCTTTCAAAAAAGAAATTTTACCTCTAAACATATCCTACAGCTGAGGGAACTAAAGGAATGGAAAGCAAGAGAGGTCGGGGGCAGAAAGGGGGACTGACTGACGACACTGACTCCTGCGTCTGCTCCAGGCCTTGTGGCCAACGCCAGCCTAACCAGGGCCGCCCTCCTGCCCTCCAGCACTTCACCTGGTACCTCGTAATCAAAACCATGTCCCAATATTTAACTGTCAACCTTCAACATTCTTTCAACCTGATTAACCTCTTAAACCTGCTAATAAGTCCAAATGCATGCTTCAACATCAATATCCTCAAAACTTCCCAGAGGCTGAAGCAGAAGGTGACTCTCAACCATGAGCTTGGTCAGGGTTCCAATAACTCCCGACACTGAGAAATAATTGGTAGTTTTGACAGATTTAACAGCAGTGGAAAAGCCTGAAGTCTGGGTATGGACACAAGAGGACTTCAGCATGAATTTCCAGTGTAACAAGCTAAACATTTCTTATGTAGAGTAACAGGAACAAATTAACCCAGGCACAGGTGACACACACATGGAAGTCGGACTCCGGAAACGTGCCATGGCTTCGAAAGTCTCACCGTGCAGCATCTGACTCCTGCACTTCAACTGCAGGGCAGCTGTCTCCCTCCCATTCCTGACATGGTTATTACAGGTACAGCAAAAACCAACTTGAAAGCCACCAGAACAGCCCCGGCAAATTTTAGGAAGGTCCAAAGAGGGAGCTAAGTTTAAGTGGAAGGGGCCGGCAGCAGCCTCTTGCCACTCCCACTTTCCAAGGCTGCACGGATCACCACTCCAACGCCGAAACTCCAACTGTTTGTGAGGATGCCATTAACCCCAAGTCTCTTGTCTGCTCAGCACTGTGGCTGGGGGAAAGGATGGGAGAGGACCTTCCTACTGGGCATGTGGACACCAGGCAGAGCCTGGAACTGGGCCATGACCCTGCAGAGAACCATGTCTAGGAAATCATTTGCCACATTTAATTTTACAGACAAATACTAAATTCTAAGATCCTTTTTAGTTATTGCAGTAGTTAAATTTTCTCGAAAATGCACAACTGCTTTAAATAAAAACTTAAAATAAGTTTTTAGTGGCAGCAGCATAAAGTTCCCCAATAAAGAACAGATTCCTAGAGACGGGCATGTTGGCACACACATTATCCCTGCAGCTCAGGAGGCTAAGGCAGGAGGATTGAGTTCAAAGCCAGCTTCAGAAACTTAGTGAGGCCCTGTCTCTAAAATACAGAAAAGGGCTGGGGATGTGGCTCAGTGGTTAAGTGCCCCTGGGTTCAATCCCCAGTACCAAGAAACAGAAACAAAAACAAAAAAACACAAATTCCTATGACTCTAGTCTGCAGCAAAGAACCAGGTGAAACCTAGGATGCCTGATGACCACAGCTGCACTGTCCTCCAGTACTCACCACGCTCACGTCACATGCCCTGTGAACTGGACAGCTGCAGGCACCAGTGCTTCTCTACCACTCTGACCTGTGCCATGCACGTCCACCATGCTGCTGGGTTCCCCACCATGAACACCGATTTAACAAGCTCGTCCCTCAAGTCTGGACAAACATGATGCTTAAAATCACCACCAAAATGAAAAAAAAAAAAAAGCAGAAGAGTCCAGCAAATAGGGGCAGGGGCTGGGGCTGGGGCTCAGTGGCAGAGCGCTTGCCTAGCACACGTGAGGCCCTGGGTTCGATCCTCAGCACCACATAAAAATAAAATAAAGGAACTGTGTCCACCTAAAAAACATATGTAAAGAAAAAAAAAAGAGTCCAGCAAATATATGATTAAGCCTAAGAGAAAAGCAAGCCCTTGAACAGAACAAGACACTCTGGGGCAGTGCTGGAGGGGCCTGCGGGAAGAGATCAGCACAGGCGTGGCTGTCTCCTCCACAGCAGCCAACGGCAGACACAATTTCTGAGTGAGGCAAAATGTCTTTCACTGAGGATACAAAATACAAGCAGGAGACCAACTCAAAATAAAGGCAAAACAACAACAACAAAAATCAAAACAAAAACAAACTCACAAAATAAGAGTGAAGAGTTCGTATTTTGAGTTCCCATCTGACCTTCCAGAGCTATGCACTACTTCAAAGTGCAGTCCAGTTAATCAGCAACGATCTCTAGGGCACTTACTCTAAAAACCCAGGAACACCTGTGATTCCAGAATGTCTATTAAGCGCAATTAAGAGACATGAAACGTGACATCTCTTAAGACTACAAATACCGATATTCCAAACTCCAAGGAGCTCTGCAGAGCAGGAATCCCAGGCTCTGCTCAACTCGGCTGCACACATCTATGGCACTAGAGCTCTCACTGCCCTCTCTCCAGAACTCCCTGGACAGACTCCTCAGTCACCATCCAGCAATGTTGACATTAAAAATACTTAAGTTCCAATTTTCCAAAGAAGAAAGAATTTTTCCTCTTTGCACAGCATCTCAACCCAGGTTGCACAGTGGGTGAAGCGGGCACTGTCACCCTCACATATGTTAAGGAGCAGGATCAGCAAATCTGATGATATGGAGGCGATCAGAAACATATCACAACTGTTGGCTTCGAACAGTCACCTGATTGTGTGATACATTAAAACTGATTCAGTCTTGGCTTCAACTTCTTAAAAATATAGAATTTTAAAGGACAATGTTATCCATATGCATGAGAAACAAGAGTCAACTGGACACAGATCTGCAGCTATGCACTGGGAACAAAACATCAGCCCACACATTGTTTTAATACTTTTAATATCTGTTGGTGTGTGGAATGCACGGACCAGGCTATTCAAGCCCTCTAGACCCATGGGCTGCCTCAGACCAAAAAAGGATAAGACCTAACTCAGCCCAGAAGGCCCTCACACGATTCTCTACCAGAGACCACCAGGTTCCTAGATTCCATAGGACAATTTTTTGTTCAAACTGTTTTCATCAAGACACTTGAAAGTAAATGTTCCTCATTGGGTAAGGAGCTGGGGAACCATGTTCATCTCAAAATGACACCAAGCCTTCAGTCTCTTGAAAGATATCTTTTAGTCCTGGAGATGGTGTGCGCTGCCCTCCCAGAGAGGCCCTGGCGACAGTTAGGAAGAGCACCTCTCCACGCAGTCGGCTTCCTCCAGCGCACGGCTTCCCATGCTCTGGAATGCTCCACAGCTCACGCCCTTCTGCCCTCCACTACTGCATTCAGAAGACAGGAGAATCACAGAAAGGACAGGGGCTCTGCAGCAACCTCTTAATCCAGTTAGGATCTTCTGGGGCTGGGTGCCGAGCGATGCTGTCATGGAGCAAACACTGTCTGTATATCAAGCTCTGGCAGGACTGGTAGGTTAAGAAGCACCGGAGCCAGATGTGCCCATTAGAGCAGATGGCCTGCTTGCGATCTGTGAACGGCAAGATCTCTTTACACAAGCTGCAGTGTTCAGGGAAAGTCCGTTTATTCATCTTCTTTGAGATGTGTCCGATCAGCACCCGAGCCGTTCTGTCCTCATACTCTTCATCAGACATTAGAAAGTTGCAGAGCCCTCTGGTGGGGATGCTGGTGTTCTCCGTGATCCAGGTGTGCAGGTACACTTCCCCCAGGACGCGCTTCATGTGCTCCCTGGTCAGGTGCATCTCCACAGCCTCGATCTTCCCTTGGATCTCAAGGAGCTTCTCCTCCACTGCCTCGTGGCCTCCACCGTCTCCCGATGGGGGCAGTGAGTCGTCTGTGGGCTCCTCTGCTTCGCCCTCTCTGCTCCTCTCCTGCAGGCCTGGCTTAGTCACCTGCCTGGAAGAGGCGCCTTCTTCTTGCTGCTCATCCTCTGCATTGCCCATCCCAGGACAGTCAACGATCAAGATTTTTGAGTCTTCATGGGCAGGTTTCCATAAGGCTTCTGAAGGAGTTTTCTGCATTGACTGGTATAAAATCCTCAGGAGAAAAAGCTTAAAATGCCAAAAATAGGTGACTCCACTGCTTTCGATCTTTTTTTCCAAAGCTTCATGTAAAAACTGAGGGATATGTTTATCTTTTAAAATTTTCCAGCGTACTAGGTCTATTAAATCCACCTGCTTAAAGAGGTTCTGCACTGAAGACTCCAGGAGCTGAGCAGCTGCCTCCTCAAAGGTTTTGAGAGTAACGAACTGGACCTGATAATTTTTGTTGACAGGATGAAGGCCATTGACCATGCCCTCAGTTGTGATGATGGCCAGATACGCACCACACAGGCTCACTGCTATCCCATGAGTCCTCACTGAGCCAGACACATCTGAGAGTTTAATTAACTGGTGCTCGAACTTTAATGCGACATCTGTGAAGATGGGAATCAACTGCCTCACTTTCCCATCCCTGGAACAAGTGTACATGGTTCCGTTCTGTTTGTCTGCAGTCATGGAGACAATGGGCAGGGAGTGAAGGCCTGTGACGTGGGAATTGTGAACATTCAGACCTGCCTTGGAGATCAAAAGAAGACACCAAAACACGTAGGAGCCTCTTGCAGCCACCACCAGGCTGCAGCTGCACTTCCGGTAGGGGTGATAAAGCGGCACGCACTTAATGCTGTGCACAGGCAACTGGTCCATTTCTTTCCACAAGACAACAGGCTGCCTCAAGGTGAAGTAGCCCTTGACTGCTTTGAGATTGACAGGGAGAATTTTTACGGGTCCAAAAGCACTCCCCACAATAAGGCCACTCATTTTCCGATTATTGTGCTCATATTCCCACCAGAATAAAACACTAGGGGAGCTGATTCCAGACTCGATCGTGTTGCATGAGGAGATGGACTCCTTTCCTACAAAGGGCAGCTGAAATTGCCACACGGCAATGTTACCGTTCTCAAAGAGGACAGCCAAGAGCACACTGCCCACATCCCGGCACTCATTGTTGTGCTTGACCTGCTGAGTGGTGCAGATGCCCGACCACTCCATTCTGACTGGGGTCTGCATGCTGTGCCTCCTCTGAAATTCGGCAAAATCCCCGAGATTTCCCTCTGGAGCCTCATTGTTAGAGAGCCTGTAACTGGTCTCATAGAGACGCTCTCCGTAAATCTCAGTCAGATCAACCAGCTGGACCCACTGGAGTCTGTTGAGGTTCACCTGGACAGTCAGGCGATTGTCCATGGTCAGCGCTGCCAAGAGGCACCTGCCATTTGCATTGCAACCCATGGGAGACCAGCTGGTGCATTTGAACCCTCTCATTGGTGGCAAGGCCTTTCCCTTAGGGTTGAACACCCTGTCCAACATGAAAGTCTGGATGATGGTGGGGTCTTTGGAGCTGGCAAATTTCTCCTTGCACTCAGCAACTTCTGATTTTGAGCCAACTTTGAGCAGGCAGCTGTTGAGAGGGGCGGGCACTGAGGTGCGGTGGATCACCAGGTCCTGGCCCGGGTTGCGCACGTGGCAGATGAGCTCCAGCACGGCGATGCTGCAGGCCGTGGACACCTACACACAGTGGTTCTCCGACCAGGCCAGTGGCTCCAGGCCGCTCACCGCGTACTGCAGCTTCACGGCTGGTTCCTGCCAGAGTCACCTTGAGGCGGAACGAGGGCCGGGTCCTTCCCGCCCTCCTTGCCCTCCGCGGGCCCCAGCCGGGCCGACAGCGTTCAGGTCCCCTCCGCGCAGAGGTCGGCTCCCGGTGCGCTCAGCCCACTCCGCTGCGCGGCCACCGCCCCCAGCCTCATTTTTTTATATAGCTGAACAGTGTTGTTATAGAACTTTTTAAGATATGTACAAAAGTAAGAAGAGCATATTGAATTCTCATGCATTTGTTCACCAGCTTCTACAGTTTGCAATATTCTTTTTTTAATATTTACTTGTTTATTTATTTAGTTTTAGGTGGACACAGTATCTTCATTTTATTTTATGTGGTGCTGAGGATCGAACCCAGCACCTAACAGCATGCTAGGCAAGCGCTCCACCACTGAGCCATAACCACAGCCCCAGTTTGCAATATTCTTATGTTTGGGTTTCATCTCTATACTCACTAAATCCAGACCTTGTTTGACTAGGGTCAGGTTGAAGAGGCTGGAATATTTTAAAGCAAATTACAAACTATTGAGCATTTTATTTTTAAATGCCTTAATGTATACCACTAATATTCAAAGGCTTAAAAATGTGTAGAGTGCTACTATTGTAATTTTAAAATTAAAACCCCAACACTTTCCTATGATAGGTTGCACATCCTTAGTCTAAAAATCCCAAACCTCAAATCCTCTGAAATCTGAAACTTTTTGAATGTTTAAAAGAGATTGTGAACAGATTTCAGAGCTTTCAGATTTTGGATTTTCAAATTTCAGTGCTCAGCTGGTGAAGTCTATGCAAATATTCCTAAATCCAAAACATTCACAACTCTTCTGGTCCCAAGCATTTAGATAAGAGATACCCAATCTGTGCCATCTAATCCTCAGCCCATGTTCAGTCTCTCCAGTTTCTCAAGATAGCTTATTATTATATCTACAAGGGATTGTTTAATGTGGCCTTTATCCTCTTCTCCCTCCAAATCATTGACTTCCTGTTTATATCTCCTTTCCTTATACATAGCTATTACCTTAAATAAGGCCCGTTATCTATTTTTGACTTGATCTGCTCTAGTCATCTAAAGGGTCACTTTTCCTCCAATCTCACCTGTAGACTCCAGACTACTTCCAGAGTAATTCTTGTTTATTTGTTTTTTGGCAATGCTGGGGATTGTACCCAGGATCTTGTACATGCTGGGCAAGTACTCCACCACTAAGTTATATCCCCAGCCCCAGGGTAATATTTCTCAAATGAAAAGGGAGTTCTCTGAATTCTGTGTTTAAAAGTATTTCATCATTTCCTTATAGATTTCATCAGTCTCCTATGAAAAACCTAAGCTTCTGTGTTCACACGTGGAATTCGGCATGGCTTGGTCCTTTGAGAATGTCTACTGTGTGCCAAATATGGAGCATTAATCCCCATAGGTTAGATTTCTAGGTGTGTTGTTCAGCCTCTCCACTCAATCTCAGGGGAAGCCAGATTTTACTCCATGCGTTGTAGCACTTAGTCTGAGTTCTGAAATTGGGAGCTGGGCAGGACTTCAGTGGGTCCGCCTCTGGGAGCATAAGTTGGAGGTAGTCAATAGTGTTGGGAGATAAGAAAAAAGTGGGAGCAGACAGGATGATCACTGAGCAGGCAGCCAAGGCTTGGGCGGGGTGGGGTGGGCCTTTGTGAATTCAGAAAGACAGGTACACGTGCTCTCCTGTAGGCATTCTCAATAAACGTTGAGTTCACTGAGTCCTGTTCATGGTGGACTAGGGCAAAGTTTGTGATATACTGGGAATATCCCAGTGTCATTCTGCAGTCAGTGTCATAAGAACTCCTTACTGCTTGTGACAGAACATTTGATGCAGTAGATCATAGCATAACTTACTCAGTGCCCTGGTTTTTTGTTTGTTTGTTTTGGCTTAGTTTGGTTTTGTTTTTTTGCATTGTTAGGTTTTGCATTTTATTGTTTTAGGTTATGTTGGTAATTTTTTAAAATGTGCTTTGTTTTATAGACCATCATAATGAATGACTGTATCATCCGAGGGGATCTGGCAAATGTAAGAGTTGGACGCCATTGTGTTGTGAAAAGTCGTAGTGTCATAAGGCCACCATTCAAGAAATTCAGCAAAGGGTATGTCATTGAATTATCTTGGTTCAGTCTTGGGCAAGATGCTGGTGGTGATGGTGTTCTTGTGTTGAGTTATGGTGTGGGGAGCAGGTCTGTCCTATTTGGGGCACTGAGTAAGAGTTTGCTGTAATGAACACATCTCTTGTGGTCATGGTTTTAATTTGGCTGATGCTAACCAATTCCAGAAACAAAATCCACTTAATCTGGCAAAGCAAAGGATGTTGTGCTTTAACATACAGAGGCGTATTTGACAGGACCTAAGAGTCTTCTACCTAAGAGGAGAAAAAGGAGCCAGGCTTCACAAGGGCCTAGAGCCTGCAGCTGGAAAGCCAGCAGCAGTCAGCACACCTGTCCTATCTCTCCTCTCTGTCTTCAAGATGATGCTGTGTGTTCTTTTCAGTCCTCTCTTTCCATCCCCACTTTCTTTTCTGTCTGATTGGCTGCATCTGGCCCGTTGGCTCTTGGAGACTACCATATTGCCTCGACCCCTTGATTATCACTTCTCTTTTTAAGCTCCCAACATATGTCAACTAGAGATCTTATATCTTATTTCTAAATTCCTGGGATAAAGATTGTGGTTAGCTCAGTTTGAGTGAAGTACCTACCCCTGGTCCAAATAGCTGAGGATGGGGCCAAGTTAGGATTGACCTGATCCTTCAGTAGGATTAAGAACAGTCCAAGAAAGGACCTAGACAGAACAGAAAGACCAACCAGGGTATGGTGTTCTCTTTGCATCTCTCCTCTGTGGCTAATTGCTTTCCTGATTCTGACTTATGGCACCACCTATATTTCATCCAGTAACTCAGCCTGCATTTATTGAGCACCATTCCTATACCAGCCATTGATTATAAAGCTGATTATATAAAGATGGATAAAATAGAGTTTTTGCCTCAAAGTTCTCAAAATCTAGAGGTAGAAACAGTTATATAAACAACTACTATATAATACGATATTAGAATGTGATAGCTGTCATATAATGTGATGCTCTGTCACAGGTGGCAGAAGTTAGAGAAGGAAAGAGAAGGGAGCACCTACCTTAACAGTAACACCTAGGAGTAGGTCCTGCAGGAGTAAACCCATATTTCCTATAATGACGTTGAACTCGGGGCTCCACACAGGAATTGGGTTAAGGAGCCATTATAAATCATTCACGTGAAAATATTCACCCATTAGCTCAGAATGAACTAAGGGTGGGGGGCAGGGTAAGAGGACCAGAAAGCTCTGTGGTTTCCTTTTGGGGACTCCTATGGTGACTGCTGCTCTGCTAAAGTTTGATGAGATCAAGGATTTCCTTGTTGCACAGGAGTAAGGACTAAAAATAATAATGAATTAACAAAGATTTAAATGAATTGTGAGTCATGGAGGATAGCTACTAGCTCTTGATAAAATTTTTCTGACAATGTGATACAGGGCTGGAAAAGGCCAGTAGGCAGATAGCTACTTTATATCCGTTCTGGGCCAAGTATTTAAAATATGATCCCATAAATATGATCACAGATCATGGTTAATGACACTTGAGGAATCCTGGCAAATGGGAATGAGGTCGGAAGTCTAGAGAGAGCCTGTTGACTGCCATTCCTCCTTCAGGTCTTGGCTCAATTGTTACTTTCAATTCAGCTTTCCCCAACCACTGTTTGGGCAAAGTTATATACTTTTCCTTGTTACATATTCTCAGAACTTGGTATTGTGTCTCTGTAGCACTTACACAGTTGTAACTAATTATTTGTTTAGTCAGTTACTTCAGTCTTACTTATTCTCTTGACTGTAAACTCCTCATGGACAGGATTGTGTCTTTTGCTTACCATATATCCTCACTATCTGGCACATAATAGGCACTGGGTAAATATGGTGATTTTAAGAATCTTGGAGATTAAAAGTTATAGTTCATGAACCTGATATCAGTTCCCTGAAACAGGGCAGATTACTAAAAACGTCATCAGCGGCCATTGTCAAAGGAAGCAGAAATGAGTGAACATTCATTTTTATTTGGTGCCTGCTCTTATTTTTTTTCCACATTTTTTATTGGTGCCTTATAGTTGTACAGAATGACGAGATTTGTTGTTACATATTTGTACCTGCACACAATATAACAATATAGGTTGCCCAGTACCAGTCCCCAGCGCTTTCCCCCTCCCTTCCTGTCTGCTCTTTTAACTTTGAGGATCTTGCTTCTTTTGCCATGCTGTTTCCTTACACATTTCTTTGGCCCAGTATTTCTGATCTTGAGCTACCAGTCTCACCTGCATTCGTCATCTTCAACATGGTAGAGTTTTATGGCCTGGGGATGCTTAGAACAGTCTCATGGAGACACGATGAAGTTGAGGTTATGATCAGTAGTTCTATAAACCTTGAACCAAAGTACGTTGCCTTGACCTTTCTTTGTCATCTTCTTTTCCTTCTCTAGTGTTGCATTCTTTCCCTTACATATCGGGGACCATGTCTTTATCGAGGAAGATTGTGTGGTCAACGCAGCTCAGATTGGTTCTTACGTTCACGTTGGCAAGAACTGTGTGATTGTGAGTATGGTGACTCAGCCAACTAAGCAGCTTTGTCCCTCTGCCTCCATCCCTTAGGTCAGTGGGAGTCTGCTTCTGTGACCAAGCAAGGTAGTAGTAGTTTCTAGTCTTCCCGAGGTTGGGTCTTCCTTACTGGATTTGGAATTTTTTCTAGGCATTAATAACAGTGGCTAACCTTATAGAACCTCTGACATAAGGTGTTAAACTCTTCCTTTAGTCACTCACTTAATTCTTTCAATCATCCAAGGGTGTGTAGGTACTGGTATTGTCCCTATTTGCAGATGAGAAGACCGAGGACCTGA